TTAGACTACGAATGTCTTTAATAAACTTGTCCTCTTACATAGATTCATACGGAAGGACACTATAGTCCAGTAAAAATTGAGCTTGCCAAAAAAGAAGAAATAAATGAGTAAGTTGTGCGATATAGATAGCAGCGGGTCCAATGACGTTACTTATGCCTTTGTCTAAATTCATCAAAATCTAAAGAACACATTTGACTACTTTCAACATGTCATATTTCTATTGGCAATTGTGTTATTTTTTGAAATTTTGTGAAATTAATATTAAAAATAATTATTAAAACAGAAATATTATAATTTTTATAATTTTATACACGCTTATTGATACAATAAAAATTCTTGATCTTCTCAAAAATATTTGTAACATAAGAAACCAAAATTAATACGTACTTGTATACCAATTAAACTGCCAAGAAGCATGTTCAAGTTAAAATTAACCAAAAATATTTTCGTATACATAGACTCAATGAGTTGCGCAAATCTATAAAATAATAACACAAGAAATCTTATATATTTGTATAATGAAGTTTTATATTATATATTTATAGAAGTCAAATATTTGAATATAAAGGCAAAAATCATATATATATCATAATTTCTTTATACATACTCTATCACTTGGAGATGTTTACGTAAAGAGTATAAAGCTTTATTGTAATTTTCATCTTTTACCTTGCTCGGCTTTGAATCAAAATTAATGTCAGCATTTTTGCCAATACTTTCCAACATATATCTGCAATATCGTTAGAAATAAATAAGCTTTAGCAAATAAAATTTTAGTAGTAATGAAATAATCAAAGAAATTTCATTGTCATTTCAAAACGACATACTGTTATTTTTCTGTAATTAGGAAAATCATTTTTACCCTATAATCGAGAACATTCCACAAGCATGTTGTATCAGAGTATAAAACAAATTGTCAACTGCAACTGTGACGAACATATGAGCGAATACAGCTCCAAAACAATGTATCGTTATTAGAATCACATATTGATTAAATCTTTTGCCATATTCCAGGTGATAAGGTAAGTCTGGCATAATTGGTGTGTCTGATTCTGTTACATTTAAAATATTGTCCCTCGTCAGAATCGATATGGTTGGCTTAAGCAGGATAAGACACTCGGTCGTAAGCATAAAAACTAGAGGAAAGAATATATATAATAAAATATTTTAATAACATATGTTTATTCATGTATATGAGACAAGAAGATCGATTTTTATGAGTATTTGTTATTCAATTTTTTCAAGAATTATTTAAGAACGATTTTGAGAGATCGTGGAAGATATGGTGCATATATATATGTATTCTAAAAATTAATATAAGCTTTTATAATTCTAATAATGTACATACTTGCATAAAACGTAGTCAAATATTGCCCGTATTTAGCATGCCGTTGCAGAATAACTTTCTCTATATCTGTATTTAATGATTGCCAGTCCTTTTCTATTGTGTTAAGACAGATTTTTATCTATAAATAAATCTATCTATAAATCCTTGTATGTTTTACTATACTAACATTTCTATACAAATGTTAAAAGTTAACACAACATTGAAAAATCGTCACGTACTTTCTTATTATTTAACATCAAAATCAATATTTTTGTGCTGAATACTATGCCGATAATTATTGATGGTGCACATTCGAATATATCATCGAGATTTATTGGACCGATTAAATAAAGTGTCTGTATTGGAATAAAGATAATTTACAAAATTAATAATACGTTCTTAGGATTTTCAAAGTTATATATAAATTTAAATTACATATAATTTCAAAGAACCACAAAACCAAGGGTTTTGAACTCTCTGTGAAATTGGTTGAAACTTTAACATATTATAGTTCTCGACTCACTAATCAAAAATTTCCTTTGGCACAAAGAAAATTTGAAATAATTGAATCAATTTTTCATTGGTACCAAGTTGAATTAATATTACCATAATATTTAATACTACCATGCTACCATACTATCATAATAATTAATTTTATTTTATCATAATTAATTAATTTTAAATTAAAATATACAATTTTTTTTCCTTAACAATTTTATATTTCTGATATGTGTCACTTTTTTATGGAAATACGATATACATATATAAAACGTGAACTTACCAAAAAAAGGATTTGCTACAATTTGTTTATTACACTGCAGAAATATTAACTACATGTTTTTTTTTCATTTAAGTCAAGAACAATTAAGTCTTCATTATGTAAAATTATTCACACATTGTGTCCGGTTATAACTATTATTTTTTTATAAGCAAATAGTATGAATGTACTACGAGAAGTAGTATTCAATTCTTTCTAGCTTTAAACACCAATCGCGATCAAATAATTTTAAATAGGATATGAGTTACAGGGATTTAAAACAGAAAAAGCATGTGAAATTATCTAGCATTTAATGGATTAATAGATCAGAGATTAGTTCGTTCAATGAAAAAATAATACAGTGGCAGATTCCTTTTCTGACGAATGCAAGTTTTTCAATGCATATACCTGAGGTATCAGAATACCAAAGCAGAATGTAAACACCAGCACAAAACGAACACATCTGTCGCAAAGTTTATGATATGGCCATATTCCTGAGATCTTCAAGTATAATCTGAGAACATTATAATACTTATTATGCAAAATAGCATTTTTGCCCTTCATCTTCGAGGATATCAAGGTAATATACTCAAGGTAATATCTCAGCGATACCACGTAAGCGTTCGACATTCGACAAATTGCGGAAGTTACTTATCGATTCCTTTTATCCTCTATTCCGTAACAGTCACGTAATTCCACTTGTAAAATAAATGCACGATTTATTCAATACTTCGTATATTCAAGTCCTCTATACATCTTTCGATAACAAAATTGTTCTTTTGTTTCTCTAGATTAATACGGGAAATAAGAATAAGAGATCTCTTTTGCAATAATAATGTATTAAGCCATGGCACATAGAAAATTTGATCAATAAAATATAAGTAAGAAAAGCGATCTATCATAGACGGTTCCTACGGTTCCTCAACCATAAGAAGAATAATCGGATATGATTGGTCAATTAAATTAAGTTTTACTGCTTGAGTTTTTCTGTGTTACAGTCCTATGTGAATTAGTTTCTGTGTTACAGTCCTATGTGAATTAGTGTCGAGCAAAGCTCTTAGAGAATGTTCTTAAAAAGAGAGAACTATATATTTCTTCCGAAATGAAAAATAACAAACGATGTGAATATGTGAGATACTACTTGTAAATTGAACATGTGGATTTCTACAAGTTCTGTAATGTGTATGTGTAACTTACATTCTTACTTTAAGTTCTCTAATATCAATTCGGAAAGGAAATAACAAATTCAGAAACATATAAGATACTACTAGATCTATGTAATTTAATACAACTTAAGTTCTATAAACTTCAATATTCATCGAAACGTTGAATGAAACATTCAAATTAAATTGATAGGATCTGACCAAAATATGAATATCATCTACTAATGTTGAGATTATTAGGACTCAAATAATTTTTCGATTTTTCGATGTCATCGCTTCTTTTCATTCCCGACTGTTTATTTAAACATTTATATTTTCTAGAACGGATTGGTTGTTCAAATCAGTAATTTACATCACAGCATAATTATCTCATTGAATGTTTATATATAATTATATAACCAATTACCGATATACAATCGTTACAAATTATTTTGTACATAATCAATTGCGTGTATACATTAGCATATGGTATCGGAAATTATCAATCCTTCTTTATATATCTTCATTTCCGACAATTAAAACAAATCATTTGTTTCTCCTGATATATAAAATTTTTTTAAACATTAAAATTTATATTTTGAACGAAGCTTAAATAAGCAAACATAAATGTAGAAGTGCAATATTACGGTTGCTGAAGAAATATAAGAAAATGCTTACTGTAGGAGAGACTGAATTTTTATTTTTATTTATTAAAGAGATTTGTTTTAGTTCATACAATTTTTTATTATAGAAAATCACTTACTACAAGTAGATACACATATGCAATGATATCATTGGAAGGAATAGAACATAGTGAGATAAGATACAGAAGCTTTTACAACCTTTAAAAATAAAAGATTTTCTTAGATTTTTTTATGATTTGACAATAAAAATTGAAAACATGATAAAACAGTATTATATTTGCTGCAGCGAAGCTTTCGAGGGATATAATCATTAATTTACCAGCAGTTATTTTGCACGGTGAATTTCCTCTCGCTATAATCAGGAGAAGAAGTTTCCGACATCTTTTTGCAGTGTAATACCAATTTGACTTGCAACTATATTATTCGAATTAAGAGAAATTAAAATTAATTATAAATTTGGCAAATAATATTTATAATATTTGTATTAAATTCTTATCTTACTATTCTAAAAGCTATAAAGTTTTCTTGCAGTTTGTCTTGTGCACGTTACACATAAACAAATTGCAAAACTGAATTGCAATTGTAAATGTGATTATTTGTATAGCAATATAATGTATATAGCTATATAGGATGTTCTGCTTTATCTCGGTCCCATTTATTTTTTTACGATAGCAGAAGTCTTGCGGAATATCATGTATAATGTTCCAAGAAAAATTAAACATTTTGTTGTCGATAGCTTAGAAAAGGAAAAAGATTAAAAAAATATAGAAATTAGACTACAAATGTATCTCCAATAAATTTACATAGATTCTTACGCAGATTCGTTTGTTAGGACGCTACAGTCCAGTAAAAACTAAGCTTGCCAAGCAATAAGAAATAAATGAAAAAGTTGTCCGGAATACATGGCAATAGGTCCCATAATGTCATCTATACTCTTATCTTCTTTTTTTAAATTCATCAAAATCTAAAAATATTTGATTAGTTTGAATGATTTTTCTTTATAGCAATCGTACTATTTTTGCTGAAATTTCATGTCGCCATCACTAAAAATGATTATGAAAGAGGATATTACTTTTTTTAATTTTATCTATTCTGATTAATACTATGAAAATCCTCAATCTTTCGAAAAATATTCACATATGAAATTAAATTACATACTTGCACACCGCATAAATTGCCAATGAACATATTTATGTTAACAATGACCAGAAATATTTTCGTATATATAAATTCAATGTGTTCCGCAAATCTATAAAATGGTAACACGAAGTAAAGTCTTATACGAAATACCAAAATATTAATATATGAATGGCTTATAGAAATATCAAAATATCAATATATTAAGGACAAAAATCATATAAATATTATTATTTTTTTTCATTTCACTCTCTACCAATTGCAAATGTTTACGTAAGCAGTGTAAGGCTTTTCTATAATTTTTATTTTTGTCTTGTGCAGATTCAAATCAAAATTAATGTCATCATCTTTATCAATGTTTTGCAGTACATGTCTGTAATATCATCAGAAATAAACAAGTTTTGACACATTAAATGTTCGTGTTAGTAAGAGTGATTGAAAAAAATTGTCATTAAAAAACAACACGTTATCTTTCTATAAATAGGGAAATTGCTTTTACCCTATAACCGCAAATATTCCACAAGCATGATGTATTAAGATGTAATACAAACTGTTGCCTGTAGTTATAGCCAACATATGAGCGAATACCGCGTAATTATGTATCGCTGTCAGAAATTCGTATTGATTGATTCTTTCGCCAAATTCCACATGACAAGGCAGCTTTACTGCAAATGGTATGGATTCTGTCGCATTTGAAGTATCCTCTTCTAATAGAATCACAAAGAGTGATTTGAAACAGTAAAGAAATCTCATCGTAAACATGAAAGCTAGGATAAAAATATATGTAGTAAGATGTTTGGGTTATTCGTCTGTATATATGAAATCAGGAGGACCGATTTCTTTTCGCCATAGGCATGTTTCTTATTTAATTTTGTCAGGTAATGAGAAACTATATAAGGTTCATAGAAAATATATGATATAGAATACCACGTACACACGTACCAAAAAGTTTACGTAAGGTTCTGTAATTTTACAATATACATACCTGTATAAAACATAGATACATGTTGTCCGAATTTAGCATGCTGTTGCAGAATAGCCTTTTCTGTATCTGTATTTAATGATAGCCAGTCGTTTTCTATTTTGTTAAGACAGCTCTTTATCTATAAATAAATGCTCGTATATTTCTTACACTAACATTTCTTCATACAAAAGTTAAAAACCAACGCAATACGAAAAATTTATCACTTACTTTTTCACTATTTAACATCAATATCATTAGTTTTATGCTAATTATTATGCCGACGAATATCGATGGCATACATTCGAATATATTATAGAGACTCATGAAATTAATTAGGTAAATTGTCTATTGAAATTAGTAACGTGTATTAGAAATTAATCTTCAGGATTTCAAAATTACATGTAAATTTAATTAAATTATATGTAATTTAAATTTTTATATATTAAATAGACCACTACATTCTTAAATTATACGGAAATGTGTTTTATATATTTGTTTTCTCTTTTCTTTTTTATTTATTATTATATAATTTTATATATATTGCACTCCCGCAAGAAAAGTATCATAAGTCAAAATTTTTTTATATTTCACACTATATATGAATTTGATTTTAAATACATTAGTTTTGAATTAGAAAAAATGATACAAATTGAATTCAAATACTTTTCACGTTAAAAGAAAATAGGAAAAATATCTAAGAAATATAATATTAATCAAAAGAGGAATAGTTTTAGAATATATAACATTATAATAAAATTAATACATTACTTCTAGAGAACTTGAAATAAACAATTTGTGTTCGCCTTTAAGTTAACTCATCTTTAATTGCCGTAAATAATTAATTTCAATTTAAAATATGTATTTTTTCGTTTCTTGAACAGTTTTATATTTTTAACTTGCGACATTTTTCTTATGTGGGAATAATGGGGGAATGTATATGAAACTTACATTT